CTTACGTGAATGGCTGTTACGTAATAAATATCCTTACCTATATAACAGCCATTCGCGTAATAAATATCCTGACCTATATGAATGGCTGTTATATAGGTCAGGATAAGTAGACGTATAACAAACCTGTGTTTATATGGCTGTGTATTTGTTCTAATATCCACACATGTGTTTAATAGACGTATATTAAACCTGTGTCTCTATGGTTGTGTATTTGTTCTAATATCTACACATGTGTTTAAGGTACGTACATCAAACTTTGTTTCTGTGGTTGTGTATTTGTTCTAATATCCACACATGTGTTTAATAGACGTATATTAAACCTGTGTCTCTATGGTTGCATTTTTGTGTACTAGTATCTACACATGTGTTTAATAGACGTATATTAAACCTGTGTCTCTATGGTTGTGTATTTGTTCTAATATCTACACATGTGTTTAAGGTACGTACATCAAAACTTTGTTTCTGTGGTTGTGTATTTCTTCTAATATCTACAAGCATATATTTACCCATCATCATGCCCAAACTTGAAAAAAGACGCTGCCTGGCTAACTAATGAATGAATATTTTACTGTAAAATTATCATCAATACTACACGTGTATCTACTAGCCAATTTGCGTTTCATACCTTCAAGTCGCATGCACAATTCTTTTTTAACTACATATTTTTCACACCTATGGTGTTTTTTAGTTAGATATCATGACTTTTTGTCAATACACACCACCAAACCTAAGGTGTTCTTGATTATATACAACATAGTTACACTGACCGTCAACAATCAATCATAGTTCAAGGTCATCCAATACGACATAGTAACACTGACCGACACCAATAATCAGAGTTCAAGGTCCTCATATTCTATGGCATGAGCCACTAATGCAAGACCGCGTTCAAAGTCAAGATATTCGTTATACAGTGCCACCTCGTTAAATTCAGAGTTTCAAGAGTTTGTAGATAAACACTGATGTTATCTGGAAAACTTTATTACTTTGCACAACACTGTTTATTTACACTCTTTATGAAAGATTATATTTTGTGTAGAATTTATGTAATGAATCAAACATGAATAAGGTTTGTATTATATTAATAACGACTATATAAGGTACAATACAAAAACCTGTTTTAGTGGTTGTTTCAATTACCTCAACATCTGATAAGTTCTGGTGTTGAGCTAAAGGCCTTCTATGTTAATGGACGATTAAAATAAATATGAATAACACAGGCCTGCGATGGTTTTAATTGTTTTGAAATATTTACATATTCTACAGTAATTCCTATACCCTGAATCTGGAAATGATATCCATTTTTCTTCATCACCTACAGATTTTTCACAAAACGTCATATGTACTTTTACGTAAGTGAATCTTTTTCATTGAAATCGCGTCACATTTTGTTATGCTTAAAATGTTGACAACCACTGGCTATAGATTTCTATAGACCAATCGCGACGTGAGAGTCTTATCGATCGTTCTAGAACCCACAAGAAACATACCGTTAGTATATAAACGGTTAACAGGCCGCATGACGTGTCATTTCTGGTTATTATTTGTTTGTGAATGCACTTTGAAATTATTTTTTTCATTTCAATATTATTTATTCGTCGCTATGGCGACAAGAGGTTATGTAAGTGATCCAAACATATTCTGTTATATTTAGGGTAAATTTGTTGTAAAGAAACAAAGGCAAAACATTACAGAATTCGTCAAAAAAGCGTATTACGCGTATTGTGGAATAAAACTTGGGGGCCCAAGACAAATCATGGGCTCCGCACAAAGTTTGCACCGTTTGTGTCGAAGAGTTGAGACAATGGATTAAAGGTAAGAAAAAGTCTCTGCCTTTTGGAATTCCAATGAGCTGGCGTGAGCCTAGATACCACAGAGATAACTGCTATTTTTGCTCATGTAACGTGCAAGGCTACAACACTCGAAATAAAAAGGATTTTTTTATCTGAATGTTCGATCTGCTGTAAGACCTGTTGCTCATGGACCTGATGTACCTGTACCTACTCCACCGGAGACTCTTGATACCATTTCATCTGATTCTGAATCTGATGTCAATAGAAATGATGATAGGGTTCGTTTTCAACCTGAAACGTCTGGTGAACCATGACTTTTCACACACGGTGAACTTAATGATTTGGTGAGAGATTTAGGCCTTCCAAAGGATTCTTCAGAGATTTTGGAATTCAGACCTCGGGCTAAGAGCTTACTTTCTCCAGGGACATCATTTTACTGGTACAGAAATCATGAGAAAGAGCTTATACCATACTTTTAGCAAGAAGGTTCACTGGTTTATTGCAATAATATTGCTATATTAATACCAATGCTAGGAGATGCAGTCTATGAGTCAAGTGAGTGGCGTTTGTTCATTAATTCCTCCAAAATAAATCTAAAAGGTGTACTCCTTCACAATGGTAACATACATGCATCTCGAACTTCTTCTTAATAAGGTCAAATACAAAGAACATGGTTGGCTTCTTTGTGGAGACTTAAAAATTCTTTGTATATTGTTGGGTCAACAACCTGTTTGTACAAAGTTTCCATGTTTTTTTGTGTGAATGGGACAGCAGAGCACGAAATTAACACTGTATAAAGAAACAATAGCCACGCAGAGTCAGCCTGATACCAGGATCGAAACATATTAAATGTGAAAGTTAGGTTAACACAAAGAAAGCCCTATTTCCTCCACTTCACATAAAACTGGGCTTGATGAAGTAGTTTGTAAAGGCCTTAGACAAAGATGGCGACTGTTTCAAGTGTCTATGTGGGCAATTCTCAGCTCTTTCAGAAGCGAAGCTTAAAGAAAGGATTTTTGTTGAGACTCAGATTAGGAATTGACTTCGGATGAAAAGTTCGAAAGAACAATGAATAAAGTTGAAAACGAAGCGTAGATTACCTTTAAAGATGTTATTGTTTAGGAAACAACAAAGATACTAGTTACGAAAATATTGTCAATAACATGTTTGATAAATTCAAAGAATTGGGTTGTAATATGAGCTTGAAAGTTCAGTTTTTACATTCACATATCGACTACTTCCCTGATAATCTCGGTGCCGTCAGCGAAGAACAAGGGAAGAGGTTTCATCAAGACATCAGGGAAATGGAGAGGAGGTATCAGGGAAAGTGGAACATCAGCATGATGGCTGATTACTGCTGGTCATTGAAACGAGATGGTCCAGACGCAATACATAAAAGAAAGACCACAACGCGTAGTTTTGAGACTAAAAGACGTAGATTTCACAAAATAATCCGGATGAATGAGGATGCATATGCGTTTGACATTAATTTTCTTCCTTTTTCTTCAGTTTGTTTGTATTTTTGTTAACAAACATAATAATAAAAAATGGTCATTGTGGTAAACGAAATAATAATGTGATCTACGTAAGAGTTTATTTTTTCTTCCCGTTTGTAAAACATCATCACATGACAGAAAAAAATGAATACTATTTTTAAAATCTGTGTAGCTGAATTATGCAAGATCCGTTATCAGAACTAAAACAAATTTATGAAGTTTAAACTCGCAGGCTTGTGTTGTTATTGTAATATACATTATATTATAAATCTGTAATGGGGTTGCTAAGAAAAATGTGATAACATCTGCACTGAATATTATTTTCATTGAAAAATAACTTCATTCAAAATATTTGAAGAATTCAAATTTTCTCATCATAACACACAGTACGTCCCCTCCACATACACACACATCACATTCAATTTATTCAAGTAGCACGAGGCGAGAACTTAACATAATTTAATTCAGTTACGTTGCTCGAGAAATTAAAGATTGCGAATATGACGCAACAATGTCGTTAGTACTAACACATTCATATTACAGGTAAATACCAACCACTGAACTACGTATAATCTTGTTAAAAACAAATATTATAGCTACAACCACTTTGTAATATCACGCAATTAGTAATGGAATAATCCGGATATTAAACTAGGTTCTTCATTTAGAGCAGTTTTAGCAGTCACAACAGTATTGATAAAATAGCAGCGTAATAAATATCCTGACCTATGTAACAGCCATTCACGTAGTAAAAAACACATGTGTAGATATTAGAACAAATACACAGCATATAAACACTGGTTTGACATACGTTTATTAAATACAGGTGTACTTATTACAACAAATACACAACC